GAGGGGGGGGGTTGGAGGAGAAAGAGGAGGAGGAGGAGGAGGAAAGAAACAAGGAAACAAAGAAACAAAGAAAAGGAGAAAAATAAGAAAGAGAAGAAAAAGAAAGAAGAAGAAGATAGTATGGTACTTCTTACCCCATACTCCTCACCCACCACCAAAAAATAATCACCCAACCCGTTTCCATCACTTCCGATTATTTTTCTCGATCCACTAAGTCAAGGCATCTTTGGTCAAGGGCAACTCTCAAACACATTTTCTACTTAACTGATTAAGGCAATGACATCATGTGGTCTTCTCTCCGCAGGACACGGAATTTCACTGGAGCAAAGCACTGACCGGACTTATCCTTGGTTCTTTTTTCTGGGGATACCTCGTCTTCCAGATACCTGGAGGCCGGCTCAGTGAAACGTACGTCATCGCTTGCGACGCTTGTTTTGTTTTTTTGTTGGTTGGTTAGTTTGTTTGGTTGTCTGTTTATTGTTTTGTTTATTTGCCTGCCTGTGTATTAATGTTTGTTATTTGTTTATTTGTTTATCTGTTTGTTAATTTGTTTATTTATGAAAGAAATACAAAACAAAAAGATTTTGGAAAGGAGGAGATGACGATAAAGAGAGCAACTAAAAAAGCAGCAGCAACATTGGCTATTGCTTTATCATCCTCATCATCATCGTCGACAACAACAGCAACCACAACAATAACAACAACAACAACAACAACAACATCAACAACATCAACAACAACAACAACAACAACAACAACAACAACAACAACAACAACAACAATAATAACAACAACAATAACAACAACGTAGGCTCGATCACAGAGTGGAGAAGATTTATATCGAGTATCTTTGTATACGTCTTCTGGGCTGTTGTATCACTCTCAGTTCGAATTTTTCCGATGGGCAAGATCAAAACAGCCTGCTCCCTTTAATTTGTATTTGGTTTTTGTTTGTTTGTCTGTTAAATGAATTTCTTTCTTTTGATGGTGATTTTATTTTACAAGAAGAAGCATCATTACCGCGAGTTCCCCAGGGAAATTAAAAAACAAGGGAGGTAACAATAATAATGATAGACACTTTAGCGTTTTAGTAATGCCTTCCCTTCCATAAAAGCAGTCATTTATTTTTATACCACTGCGTTCTCGATTGCAGGAATGCTTTGGAAGGCTTCCATAAGTTTTTACTCGAGCTTGGGATGCTGGACATTTCAAAATCCTCCCCCAAACCTCGAAAAAACAAAACAACGACAATAAGTAACAGCGTATAGGCAACAATATGAAAAAATAACTATACTTAACGTTCCCTACCCGTA